ACAAAAAGTGCAGATTTTGTATTAAATAAGAGTACAAATCATAATATAAAACAAGGATGCAAAACTAAACCAAGTACAAGTATTATTTTGTTTTAAAAGGTTTAAGCCTTGAGGTGTGAAGTTTACCCCTTGAGGTGAGGCGCACAGATTTTGCCTCAAGGCTTAAGCATCACAACTTTGATGTGAGACTTAAGCCTTTGTTAGGATGAGGCGTGAGGCACAAAAAGGCGTAAGCCTCAAATATTAGTGTGTATTTAGCGATTTAATGCAAAAAAGTATTTGATGCATTTTTTGAGTTCAAAATATATGGAAGAAGCATTTCAATAATTATGAGCCAAGTAAATAAATAGTAAAAAAATAAAAAACCAACCGGGGAAATCAAGTAATATTAATTTCTCTTAGTGTTTTAGGAGAGTTCAATGCAAAACGGGCCAATCAAGTTCTTAGTTGCTCTTGGATATATCAAGTGACTTTTCTTATTATTCTAATTCTAACATCTTAGGTTTATTAATTTTCTCATTTCTTTTCCTAATGGATTTATTTATTTTTTCCTTTCATTGATTTTTTTTGCATAAACCAGATTAACTAAGTTATATTCTTTCTTCTAAACTATTCAATGACCATAAATCTAATATCCAATTATATGGATGATTTTTCATATGTTTCCTTTCTTCCAAGTTGGTCATTTGAATTATTTGAGAACTTCACATTTTTAAACATAAAATATAAAATGTTTATAATTGTTAACCAATTCCTTATTATTTTATTTAATGTAACCGCTGAAACTTATTACTTATAAACTTTTATTTTATAGATATTTATACCTTCTATCATGCTAATTTAGTATAATATACGATATTTTGTAAAATTATAAACTTTAATTAATTATATTCTTAAGCTTTGAGGCTTCCGCCTCGCAACGCCTTGAGGCTTATGCCTCACCTTTTGGGCCATTATGCTTCAATTATGCCTCGAGTCTTTTAAAACCTTCTATTTTTTTTGTAAGTAAAGAGATCCATTGCAAAAACAACACATTAAGGATACAAAAAAAGACCCCTCATGTTGAGATATGGACTAATTCTCGGGGGAAGGGGTCTAGGGGTTAGAAGATAAGTTCTATTTATATTGGCCCTTTTCGCTATATCATGGGCTGGGCCTACATCATTCCTGTTTACATACATAATTTTAAGTTCTACAAAAAAAGAGATAAGGAATTTGATATGCTCGAATAGCGCCTATTCATTCCACCTTGTGTTTCACCTGATTTCTCTGAGTTTTTGCAGAATCTCCTTCGCGTCTGACAAAATGAAAGCATGGTTGATACCCAACAAAATAGGTCTTCTCAAGCCTCTGATGATTGCCCAGAGCTCAGCTTCTAAGGAGTTAATGGAATTGCATTGTTGTCCTTCTGCAAAGCAAACATTGTGTGTGTAAGAGTATATATAAACCTGTGGAGGCTTGAGTTGTTGGATTCCAAGATCCTTCAACTATCACTATCGAGTGAGAAACGAGGGGTAAGTTATGGGTAGGTATGACATTTTGTTCATTTTGGAAGTGAAACTAAGACCAGTTTTGAACTGTTGTTCCTGGGACATAAGCATTGGCTTTCCTTATGACTTCAAGGGGGTCCGGGGACTTTCCTTTGAAGATCACTTCGTTTCTATGATCCCAAATGACCCTCAAGAAGGCTAGTAGCCTAGCCAAGAAGAAATCGGAGAGATTTTTCTTCTCAGGGTTCCTTTCAAGCCACCATGAAAGGAAGTTTGGTGTTCCTGAGAGTGTGAAGGCTTCTGGGTTAAAACCAATTTGCGTTGACAACCAAACTGCTTGCTATAGCACATTAGAAGAAGAAGTGTGCTTGTGTTTCTAGTGCATTACCACAAAAAACATAGGATGGGTCCCCTGAGTGTCTTAGGAACCAAGTGGATTGCTTCGTCTTCACTCCATTCATTAGGACTTTCCATCCAAAGAGTTGACATCGAAGGGGTGCTTTTGTGGTCCACAGTTTTGACCACTTAATTTGTTCTCGAGAGGGGCCCACGATTTCAATGCTTAAGAAGCTTCTGTAAGTTGATCGAACTAAGTACTCCCCATCCTTGGTTTTCTTCCAAAGAAACTTGTCCTCTTGACATTGAGGAGTCAGGGGTATGTTTAGGATAGCCTCAGCTGATACGTCTGTAAAGACATGGTATAAGAGTTGGGAATTCCAAGTCCCATGAGAGGTGATAAAGTCTTTTACCATCCAATCTCTGCCAGGGTTGTGGTTCTTTTAAAACCTTGAGTACAAAAATTGTATCTAGTTTAGATTTGCAATGCAAATAAACACAATCTAAGGTTCAGTTCAAGGTTCAAAATATCAATACACCCGATACGTCGATAGTGGTGTATTAGACAGTATCGATAGCTTTTGTTTTATTTTTTATTTTTTTAGTTTTTCTTTTTTTGAATCTAGTTCAAAGGGGCTATGGTTTAAGGTCCATCCACCCTCCGAACCAGTCGAGACCCCAAAACACGTAGGGGTTATCAGGAAGCCCCCGATATATGTATCGATACTTTGAACCTTGGTTCAGTTTGTTTGCAGTGTTTGCATTGGTGTCAAGGCATGGCAATGCAAATATTCTGTGATATAAATTTACTATCAAAATGGCATATCTATATATATAGTAAAGTAGATAGTGCCATGTCAAATGGCCACAATTTTCTCCCTTACCCCAACCAAGAACTCTCAGACCCTCTTCGTTTTAGCCTTCCTTGGTTCCTCAAGAAGCCACGTCATAAATGTCTTCTCTCTTTCTCATTTTGACATCTCAGCATGCCCAGCCCAACCCTCTTTCCTCTATGTTTATCCCTTTGGATATCCCCTCCTAAAATTATTCATAAAATCTCTCTACCAAAATCTAATCTAATCTAGCCAAGTGGCACCACTATCCCCCACTTTCTCCTAAATTATCTATAATTCCTATTTATCTCTAAAATTATCTCTAATTTAGTAATTTAGTAAAAAATTTCTCTCCTAAGTTATCTCTAATTCCTATTTGTCCTCTTCCCTACTTTTCAATTTTTCATCTATATCTAAAAAAAGTTTGAATTAAAAAACTTAAGAATTATTTAAATATTATAATGAAATTATGTAATAACTATAAAATATTTATTAAAAGCACAAAAATAATTATAATAGATTTAATAATATTTATACTATTAATAATTTTATATTTTTATGAAATTCATAATGAAATTATATAATAACAATATAAATTATAATTTTATGGATTATTCAATTTAATAACAAAATAATAATTTAAAAGTATAAATAAAAATTATTTAAATGTTATTCAAATGATGAAAATTAAAATTAAAAAAATATAACATAATTTAAATTTTTCAATAACTAAATATTTTAAATAACAAAATATTTAATATTACATGATAACTTTATAAGAAATAAAATTTAAATAACAAAAAATGTAAATAATAATTACAAAAAATTATGTAATAAATTTAAAAATTTTCTTAAGAGTAGAAAAATAATTATAATAGATTTCATAAAATTTAAATTAATACTAATTTTATGTTTTACAAAATTAATAACAAAGTTATGTAATGATAGTATAAATTCTAATTTTATGGATTATTAAATTTAAGAAATAATAAATATTCTAAAAATTAAATAATGGTATTATTTAAATAATTAAATATTATTGTAAACAAATAATTTTTAAATACTTTAAATATAAAAAATTAATAACTAAATCATATCTTGTAGATTATTACAAAAACAAAAAATAGATTAAATAGCAAAGTTATGTTATAACTTTAAAAAAAAAATTATCAAAAACACAAAAATAGTTATAATAGATTTAATAATATTTAGTAATAAGAATATAAAATATAAATAATTTAAAAAAATAACTAAATAATATTATAAATAACTAAATTTTAAATGTTTTAAATATCAAAATATTTAATACTAAATCATATTTTAAACATTATTTAAAAAACAAAAAATAGATTAAATAATAAAATTATGTATTAAATTTAAAATATTTATCAAAAACACAAAATTAATTAACTTGGAAGTATTGAAGATTTTTATTAGTTATTTATTGTATTTTCGCTATAAAATTACAAATAATTATTAGAGATTAAACTATTGTTATTTGTTAGAGATTAGGCTATTAATTTAGCTAAAAAGCCTAAACTTAGGATTGTTCACTTGAAAGTTGAAACTGACTAACCATTAGTGAAAACCAATCAACTCGAGTTGTATTAGTCAATGTTTTAAAAGCCAACACAGGACTTGACCTACTTTTGCATTTGGATCACGATCATCGGTTCAATCGTCTAGGTCRAATGGGTCAAATTGTTCTCTATCAACACTTTATATATTTAATTTAACTTTCGCTTAACAAAGTCCATGCATCACATGGGTCTCCACTAGATCTGGAACCAAAGTCAGGTGACGGTTCATACAATTCAACCGGTTGGGTCAATGGCAGATTGAAAATATTGGTATCAATTTGGGTCAATTTTCAATTTGGTTGATCAATTCAAAAGATTTAAACTTTAAAATTACAATGATATTATTAAAAGAATAAATAAATAAATAAATATATATATATATATATGACTAGGTCGGTTTACAAATGGCCAAACCAAAACTAACCCAACTTGGGTCAGTTTGGTCTATTTCATCAATTTGATTAACAATCCTAATTGGAATTAATTATTATTATTTTTGCATTGCAAAAAAATTATTAAAAATAATTTATAAAATATTATTAATTATTTAAAAATTAAAATATAAAATAGTTGTGTATTTCTATTATTTAACTCACTTAATAAAATACGTACATAGCACGGGTCTAATTTATACGACTAAACTGGATGGACAAAATTGTCCTTAAAAAGAGGGCGCTTACTGCTTTTGTCATAAGATAATTAGAAAATATAGAAAAAAAGAAATCTAAAGAATTAAAAGCAAATGGCAATGGAGAGCTCAGTAAAGCCAAAGTGAGGATAAGCTTCTCAACAGAAACAAAGTTATTAAAAAATATATATGTACAACTATCAGTTACTGCTCCAACTAGAACTTCAGTTTTTTATCTCTCGTTTGATCTCAGAACAAAGCAGGATTTAAAAAATAAACAAAGAAAATACCACTGAGAGTGATTTAGACCAAGATAATCGAGGTGACATTTAGTCTGGAAAATGTTCCAAGTATTAGAAAAGGTCATACTCCACCATAAGTCGTACAAACCAGTATAAGAGGAAGAACAACAGGTCAGTCAAACAGTTCCCAGTCCTGAGTTATTTTCGTAGATGTCTTTGGGGGTGGAGCACTCAAGCTGCCCACTCCAGACTCGAACGTTTCCCATTTTGTTGTCACAGACACAGCGTTGCTGCTATTGCTGAAAGGGTTAGAATTTCTCGCCTTCAGCATGTCTAGAGTCTCTACAAAGCTCTGAACACGCCGAACCTGTTCAGGAATCAAAGTTGGTATTTGTATCGTATGAATTTTAGCAGTTAATTGAAGTAGCCAATACTCGAAAAAGGAAAGGTTGCAAGGATTGTAAAAATATAATAATAGCAACGTAGTTTCAGAAAGAACAGCTCAAGCCAAAAATAACTTAAGACATGCCAACAGTTCTTTTTAAGGATTTTTTTTTTTTTTTTTTTTGCTTTTCTCACCTATTGTGCTGTTAAATAACCAAAACAAGAACCAGAGTTTTATTTATTTATTTATTTTTGCTTCAAATAACAAGAAAAGTGACCCAACTTGTTCACCAATATATGGTCACATATTACCGAATGCTGGTTATAGCTATCCAGGTTCTTAGGAGGAGCGAATGGGATGTGAGAATAACCTCCAGAATTTTTAGCATGAAGTGGCCACTACAGACAACTTGTCAGCCCAAGATTTTACCATAATTGTGCACGATACAAATACTGTTAGACTATCCCTTTATGGAATATGTTGTATCTTGCTCAAATATAGATCAAGATGATCATTATCTTCTTTGTTTTTTTTTTTTTTTTTGGGGGTGGGGTGGGGTGGGGGGGGGGCTGTATAGTCTTCGGAAGAGGGGGAAAGTAATTAACATGAATAATCGTCAAGAGAGGGGGAAGAACCTATATTCTATTAAAATGCCAGCTCATGATTATGGAATTGGGCTGAAGGACCGAGTCAAAAAATTAACAAGATTGGGCAAAAGAACAACCTCTAGAAGACGCCTTATCTTGCCCCACAGATCGAGGAAATTGCATGAATTATAGACATAAGTCTAGCATGAACTATAGACACAAGTCATTGACCTGTATTCCAGGATTTATTCCTTGTAGATCAGGGGTTTGAGGACTCCTGGGTTTATGATTTCCATGGGTTATGGAGCAAAGGGTACCTTGTGTTGGGGCCATGTGGCCCACACTATCACTTAGTAATAAGGCTTGTCACAGATGTCATGGAGATGGTACGAAGACCAAGTGGAGAGTGAAATCTCAAGACACCTTCAAATTTCCCAAGATGGTAAAAGGAATGGTCCATGGTTGACAAAAATGTAATAGAATGCTATTGTCACGATTTCTCCCCAAGCCTTGAACAGCTGGATTGTCTTTTTTTCATGACTAAAACCTAACAGGGGAGAGGCAAAAGATGCTTTATTTAAGAAACTTCAGAGTTCAGACATTAAAAATTTCTACGAATAAAAAATAAAGAGGTAAAGAAAACAAAGGGATGTCCAAGAAGTGAAAAAATGAAAACAAGAATTACTATGGAGTCTAATACCAGCAACAGAACTCTAACCTTTTTCTAATGAATCATCCAGCATAGGCTGAACTACCTGCGAATTCTAAAAAATAAATAAGTCAAGTCACCAAGGGAAGCAACATCATTAAGAGTAGGGGTGGGCATAAAAAACTAAATAACCGAACTGAAAAATGCGGTTAACTAAACCAATCGATTTGGCATTTTTGAAAAACCGAAGGACTGGTTCGGTTTTTGGCTAACCTAAAAAAAACTGGTGGTTAATCAAACTAACTGGTATATATTTATATGTATATTATATATAATACATATATATATATACATGTCACATATTATCTATATATTATATATAAATATATATATATGCATTATATATATAAATATAAAAAACCAAAGAACCGAACCGGTCAAAAACCAAAATTGATCAACCAGTTAACCGGTGGTACCAGTTCGGTTTCAGTTTGGAAAAATTAAAAAACCGGTAGGACCGATTCGGTTTGAAAAAATAGCTATGCTTCGGTTAACCTAACCGTAGACACCCCTAATTAAGAGTGAAGACCTTATCATACTATTGGATGAACTCAAAAAGTAAACAAATAAATAAAACTTGAAATTAACTTTATGGCCAACTAAGAGGACTAGTGGATGGCCAATGCTTAGTTGTCATAGCCAACCCTATCATGGGTATATTGACCAACTAGTTACTGATGCGTGGCCTTCAACTGAGAAGTGATTGACTGGTCAAAACTTTGATAACACTGAATCCCAATTTAAGAGAGAGAAATAGAGAACCTAATCCAAAAATAAATAAATAAATAACTAAATTTACAGGTTTATGACGAAAGACCATACCCAAGAAACCCTGCGAGTAGAAATTGAACCAAGACTAGCACTTAGTCATATCTGCAACCTTTGCAAACACATATATTCATATTTGGGCCTTTTCTTGACACGCACGAATAGTATATATCTGCGCTTGGTATTCTTTGTCAAGTATTTCCTCACCTTGAACATTGAAGACGAACTTTATGTCTGAAAGCCAAATTGAGGTGTATGACAAAGGGTTCAGTGTGAATTTTGACCTCCAAGAGAGGTGAAACCCAACTTCTAAAAGAAGCCAATAGATTTGAAACCAATGCAAATGACCAGAATTAAAGCCTTAGTAGCTTTTTGCCTCTAGTCATTTTAAGGAAACAAAACCACCATGCCTTCTTTAATATTCTAGAGACCCATATAAATGTAGACATAGAAACCCTTACTTAAATCACATTGCTTCAAGTACCAAACTTGAATTTTCAGCGAAGGATATTTGGAATCATCTCTGTGAAGAACTTCAATGATACATATAAGTAGGGGTGCCAAATGGACTGGACTTGGTCCAATCCAATCCGATCCAATATGAGTCCATTACAAATGGACCAGGTCCGATCCAACCCAATGAATACTTTGGACCATTTTTGGCTGGTCCAATTCAATGTCTGGACTGTCCAATCTGTTCAAATTCGTTTTAATTTAGATTTGTTCCAATCCAAACCTGTTCCATTATTGGTCCAATCTGACACAACCCAATATAAATCCATCATGGATGGACCAGGTCCAATCCAATCCAATATGAACCATTAAGTCAGACTGTCCCAATTCAATGTCTTATTGGTCCAATCCGTTTGATTTTGATTTGGACGGGGTCCAACCCAAAACCAGTCTATTGACACCTCTAATGTAAGTAGCTAGCATCTTAATTATTGACAACTGGAAACAGGGATAAAAAAGAAAATAATTATACAGTCAATTCAACAAGTATATCACAGGGAGAAAGGTGTCAACTGGCTAATTGGTAAGGTCTCCCACTGGATGTAGTAGAGACTTGGGATCAAATCCCGTCTGCACCAGGGTTGGGGTTCAGGCTACCCCCTGGTGTGTAGCCCCATGGAGCCACAAAAAAAATGTACCACAAAAAACCCCATGTTCCCTTTCCTGTTCAACATTTTATGCACCATATTGATTTGAAGATCCACTCTATTCTAGAGTGGGAAGATTAAGGTACTGTTTGGCAAGTCTTTTTAGGAAAATCTTCCAATGGCCTAGATGGCCAAAAGATATAATGAGCTTTTGGGGTCTTGTCTTTAACGATTTAGAACGTTTCAGTAAGTATCCTAATCTACCATGATCTACAAAACTATTTAAATGAAAGATTTTAAGTGCAGAAAGATAGTGAAGCTTTCAGATTTTTGGCCATTTTGGGCTTCCATGAGATTTTTAGAGCATAGGTCTTTCTGGCTTTTTATCTTTCATTGCTAAACAGAGGACCAAATTTTGGTCTTCCAAGCTTTGAAAAGCCCAAATGACCAGACAAAAATTCTTGCCAAACGCCTCTCAAGTCTAGTAGATTAGCTCAAGCTCGTGGTTTGGGAACTAAAAGGCATCCTAATGAAATCATAACTTTATCTTAATGCTGTAACTGAAATTTTCTTTTTAGATTAACCTAATAGATAATAGTTAAATAACATAAAATAAGACTACAGTTGAAAAATGGCAAAATTCACTAGTATTGTTTTGTCTAAAATATGTTGTTTGATCTATTAAGTTAATAAATAATAACATTATTTGAAAACCATGGATAAAGAAATGAATAGAATGCAATGATGAGAGCAGGATTCATGAAGTGAACCCCATATAGTTGGAAGAACACTTAGATGATGAAACTGACAGCATAAAACATATGTTCTGAAAACCATGATAATATATATAGGAGGACCTTCTATAAAATACATGGGAAACCAGTTATCTGTATTAGTTTTGTTTTGTAGAGTTTTCCTATAATAACATTCTACTTTTTGAGATTTTTCGTATTTCCCATCTTGCTACCTGCATGATCCATATTTTATATATCCTAATTTTTGAAGACTTTTGTGGTTTGCCAAGACATATGCTAAATGTCACTAAGAAAAATTTAGTAAACCATAAACCAATATATATTATGACCTTTACTCTAACACTACATTGAAATCATGATTAGGTTTATGAAGGCGGAACCTCCCAAGAAAAATCAATGAAATACAAAGGGATTATTATTTCTAAAAAAATACAAACGGATTTTTTTTATAAATACAAATGGATTATTGACCATATGGCTTACGAATTGAAATATTAAGATTCACACCAAGTCATGTAAAGAAAAAGCCCAACTGTTAGACAACTTATGGAAATTCCACTTTCCACAAAAATTTCCTCTTTCTACTGTATTTCGAATGCTACCAAGTACAGAGAACAAGATGTCAAGATCAAGCATATGGGAGATCAAATATGATGAATCTTTAAATCCTAAAACCTCAAGATCTGATCTGCCTAGCATATAGTGACATAGTGTTCTATGCCATTAAAGATCCAAAAATCTAAGTAATGCAACAGCAATATGGATTTTAAGCTTAAAATCCAACTACAGCCTACAGTCCAAAAGTCTTTGAGATATAGAAGTGTGTAATCATCATACCAAATGTATTAGAATCAGCTAAAGTCTGACTTAAAGAATTCAAAATTAGGCAGTAAAAGATTAGTATCATAAGGATCCTATTCCATAATATTCTGTCCTTTCTTCTTTTTTTTTTTTTGATAAATAATATCCTGTCCTTTCATGTACTAATATAAATATCTCCCTCAAGAAATTTGGATTATGGGGTTTGAGTAGCCAGAGGAATGGACACTGCTACAGAAGGTCATTCTTTTCCTCGTAGAATGTGTTTGGCCCAAACATTGTATGTTGCAGGACCAAGGGCATGCTAACAATCAGTAGCTATTATCATGTTACAAAATCTCTGGTACTTGTATGGCCCCAAACCTTGGGCCATTGCTTGGTGAGATGGTAAAATCTTAGCTTACAACATGACTGCCAAAGTTTGGGTTTGTTCTAGTAGTTAGAAGGGTCTCTAAAGGTCACGGTAACACAGGTAATTCCATCTACTGCATGAAATGAATTTTTCTCAGGCTGACAAGCATGAGAATGCAGATTCGTCTGACAGTGGCTGCTTTGTGTAAAAGTAGTGCAGTATGGGCCCATACCCAGTCTACCCTTCCCAAGATGCTGGATAGCCAGAACCAACATTGGGTAATGCAGTGGGCATGGCTTGGTGCAATGGTAAAATGTTGAGCTGACAGATGAGAGAATGCAGGTTCAAAAGTTCAAGTCTGAGAGCAACCATTTTTGTGCAATAAAAAATGTGAAAGGTTAGGTCCGTATCCAGTCTAACCCCTCCAAGACCCTAGATAGCAGGGACAATAATTGTTGGGTAACGGTTCATTTTGGATGGAGCTAACTTTATATTCACAAACAGATAATTTATAAATCTAGTGGTATCAGAAGGATATGAAACTTCCCAGCAATTTAAGAAAAGAGCAATACCTTCTGAGAGTTATGGATCTTGATTCCACATGACTATGTCCCTAAAAATATTTTGGGATGCACAAAATAATATTTTGTCAAATTTTACAGTGTTTAATTGCAACTTTAACACCAATTTGTAAAATGTGATCATGAGTTGGACAACTAGATTTTAGGACCATGTGGAAGAGAGAGACTTCCATGAAACCTAGGGTTTTCTTGTGTGTAAGTTATTTAAGGAGACAATTATCAGGTAGGACACCTAAAATGAAAACCAACATGATCTCATCCAAGAGTCCAGGTAAAATGACTTCTGAAAGGGTTCAAGTTGTTCTGCACTTCTACCCTGTTATTACCCTAGTTTTGGATGATATTTTTCTTCCTGTAACACTATACTGGCAGTAGCAACCAAATACCTAAAAATCAATATTTTCCTATAATAACAGTTTCTGCAATATGTTTTATGTAAAACCAAAAGCAGCCTAATATATGTTCTCGTTTATAATAGTGACGTGATGAACATGAAAATGAGGGAGGCATATATGAAGAAGAAAATTTAATTGCAGAAGGTTGGTTGACAACTAACTTCAATTCGCCTTTGCACTTTTGCTTCTCCTTCAGCCTCAATGCTATCCAACTTTAGCAATTGCACAATTAGTAACTCCGTCAACACAACAAATTCCTTGTCTGCGACCTTGGCGCCACTGTGTACAGATGACTCCAAAGCGGTCACCTACAGACAAAACCATTCCCATGAGACACCAGAGAAATGGGCCAAAAGTGGCTCCTTTAGATTAATTGGATCACCTTTTCTGAGAGCTTATCCACCTCCACTCTGACTTTTGCAACAGCTTCACAGGCTTTTGATATTCCCTGATTCCTTTTCATTTCCTCAAGCTTCCTTTCCTTGCTTGCTGGGTCTTCCAAGAGTACCACCTTTGACATGTCTTTCACACCAACCATGTGCAGGCACTCGTCGTCTTCTTTTTCCTTCCCTCTGAATAACAGTCTTTGCTCTTTGGGCTCCAAACCAGTCTCATTGGCAAGAACCTTTTTTAGATCCCCTTACAATAAGATCACATAAAGCTAATAAACATCAATTTCTAAGGGAAGAGAAAACTAATAATGAAAAGTGAAAATTTTGCAAAAGTAGCTTGAAGGGCAATAAAGTATATTTACCTAGGAACCAACTAGAAGGACAGAAAAAAAATCGATGACCCAGAGAAATAACAGCACCCAGTAATGAGAAACCCTCTCATATATGCAAAGAAACTATCTCATATCTTCCATTACCCTCCCGATCCCCCACTAAACACACATGCGAAATGAGCACCTAAACAAATACAGCAATTCCACGGAGATGAAGCACAGAATGGAAACGAAGAAGAAGAAGAAGAAGAATAAGAAGAAGAAGATCGAAATTAACTTGAATGCCAAATCTATCATTAAGACGAATTTTAGCAAATTTAGAGTGATTTCCGGGAGAATAGACAAAAGCCAGAAAACAATGTGAGAATGACCAAAATTAGCTTAATGGAAGAACCCACTTGAGAAACAGCGAACAATACAAATGGGCAAGCATCAATGAATAAACCGTTGAGAAAAGAAAGAAATTACCAAAAGTGGCCTGAGCAGGGACACTGATCTCGTGGTGGTAAGAACCATGAGAGACCTTGACCTTGATCATAGGTCCTGAAGCACCTAATCCATCCTCCCTCTTCTGTACAAGCATACCACCAGGTCTAAGCTCCCAATGGATCGCCTCATTCTTCCCATTCTCCACAACTCCTTTTGAATTGGATTTTTTCATCCTCACCGAACCAACAGAAGAAAAGAAATCGAAGAGGTGCAGTCGGTATCGGTTGAGAAAGGTGAGATGTTTCTGTAACAAAAGAACCAGTATTGCGTAAGCAAGCAAAAAGAAGACCGATAAAGGAAAGGTTTGACAGGGAAAGGAACCTTTCAGTCTTTTTACAGAGCGATTGGTTGGTTCCAGCTTTCTAGAGGAGAGAGAGAGAGAGAGGAGAGGGAGGGGTTTCTATAATACAAGATTACGGTTATCATTTTTCATATCAAAAATCGTAGATGGAACAGATGAGGGCCCAAAAGGCTTATCAAGTTTACTTGATGAAATTGACTAAACATGAGCGATTAGCCAGAACCACCTCCGTTTATTGTATAGGGAGGGGCTACAATACTATTATGTACTGTTTCTATCGTTTAAATAATGGTCAGGCACTGTTATCCAAAGGTCAAATAGAAGCCATTGGCGTGGCCATCGGAATAAGAGCCCTATTCCGGGTAGGTCACTTGTTTGACTCTCCCCCGTCAGTCGGTGGTGGGTCAATTAGCAGCAGATTGGAGTTGATTTCTAGTCACGTAAACTACCCTAAAACTCGTATAAAGACTTAAAAAATATAATTATCTATTCGTTTTTTAAATATTGTTTGAGGAAAGAATCTTGTACAAAAGAATACATTGATAGTTCTTAGTTCTACTTTATAGTTGAATTTTGTTTCACATCGAAATTTTCCAATTGACTTGAACCTTAGGGCCATTTAGCCTAAGAATTGTCCAGGTAGCCGGTTCCATTTAACCCCAATCCAATTTCTGGCCAAAAATCGTTAAATCAGTCAATAACTCGTTGACCAGGGCAACTGAACTGTTGACCTGTTTAATGGTTTTTGGCAATTTTTTATTTTAGTTATTTTTTAATTTTTAATTTTTGTTGTCAGAATGGGCCATCTATTCGAACTGGACGATTGAACCATCAACTTGGAAATCGGTGGCTAAAACGGTTCTACTTCTAGGTCGTTTTTTTTTAGATGTCAATAATTAGACAAAATAACATTGTAGTCATAGTCATGGGAAAGGTGGACATTGCAATGGATTCCAAAACCTTGAAAAATAAATCCAAATTGACCTTAAACACAGAAAAAAAAATTGGCGATAAATCCACCAAACTAGAAAAATCAAGGAAAAAAAAACAAAAAAATCGAGTCCAAAGTTCTGCTTTGAGATGGAGCTAAACATACATGCAATCAAAGAAAGAGACAAAGCATATCGTCTTATAAGAAAAAAAGAACATTGCACAAGAAAACCTAAAGAAAAACAAAATGGAAGAAATAAAATGGTGGAAAAAAAAAACAAAAATAAAAGCAGAAAATGAAAAAACAAGGTACATACTACACACGCTCAAATACAGACCACAATAGAAGAAACCTTTGAATACTGAAAATCCAAAAGCATAAAAAAACTATGGTTTTTTAACCATCGTTGACCCAAATGGTCAAACATTTCAGCCCGGGAACCGTCCAGGCAATCGATTCCGTTTTACCTCAACCCCGGTCCCTGACCAAAAACTATCAGAACGGGCCGTCCGTTCAAACCGGATGGTCAAACCATCGACTCGATGTTAGAACGGGCCATTCATTCAAACCAAACGGTCAAACCGTCGACCCAAAAACCGTTGGCCAGAACGGTTCCATTTTCTTGCAGAACAGGTCGTCTATTCGAACCGAATGGTCGAACCGTCGACTCAAAAATCGGTGGCCAGAACGGTTCCGTTTTAGGGTCGTATGAGTCACACACTCGAATGACATAACAGTGTGATATTGCTTAATGGACCACACACTCAATTTTTTGCTTGAAATTTTTGTTGCCAGAACGGGCCCGTTTGTTCGAACCGGACGATCAAACCGTCGACCCGAAAACTAGTGTCCAAAATGGTTACATAATTTTTTGTTTATAATTTTAGTTGTCAAAATGGGCCATCCATTCAAACTGGATAGTCAAACCAGACACAAATATAGAACTACAAAATGAAGAACGAAGAGAGAGGGATATCGTTGCACGTGTGGATATCCATAACATATGTACAAAGATTATTGCACGTGTGGATACCATTTTCTAAAACGAGAGGATGCCACGAATCATCCCATCCCATTAATATATATAGATTAGATAAGGTATGGTATTAAGATAAACTCGACCCTCTTAACCTGTGACGGGATCTGCTCCTCACAAATGGGCGCCTCACAGGCACATCCACCGTACATTGGAAACATCTCCCGTGAATAATAGCTAATAAGTATGGGAGATGTTCCCAATGTATGATAGGATGTGCGTGTGAGGCGCCTATGAGGTGTCAGGTGTGAGGAGTAGATCCGGTCTCAGTCTCTATAATATTGGAAGGGAAGCATATAAATTTTAAGCTCCGTTTGGATTGTGGAAAGATTTGGGTGAGATAGGAAAGATGGGATAGGATGGGATGGGATGGGAAGGTGTAAAAATTTAACTTTCCATTATTTGGTTTATATGTGATAATAATAGGAAAAGTACCACCACGACCTGATTCTTCGCCGGAATGAGAGAGAGATGGGAGTGCTAAGAAAGTAGATCACTGTTGCCTAGAGTTGCAGTGGCAATCAGAGAAAGAAGGAAATTGAAAGGGGGATACCATTTTCTAAAACGAGAGGAAATTCAAAATGAAGAACAAAGAGAGAGGGATATCGTTGCACGTGTGGATATCCATAACATATGTACAAAAATTATTGCACGTGTGGATGCCATTTTCCAAAATGAGATGATGCCACGAATCATCCTATCCCATTAATATATATATATATATATATATATATTAGATTGGATAAGGTGCGGTATTAAGATAAACTTGACCCTCTTAACCTGTGACGGGATATGCTCCTCACAAATGGGCGCCTCACAGGCACATCCACCGTACATTGGGAACATCTCCCGTGAATAATAGCTAATAAGTATGGGAGATGTTCCCAATGTATGATAGGATGTGCGTGTGAGGTGCCTATGAGGTGTCAGGTGTGAGGAGTAATCCGGTCTCAGTCTCTATAATATTGGAAGGGAAGCATATAAATTTTAAGCTCCGTTTGGATTGTAGAAAGATTTGGGTGAGATAGGAAAAGATGGGATAGGATGGGATGGGATGGGAAGGTGTAAAAATTTAACTTTCCATTATTTGGTTTATATGTGATAATAATAGGAAAAGTACCACCACGACCTGATTCTTCGCCGGAATGAGAGAGAGATGGGAGTGCTGAGAAAGTAGATCGTCGTTGCCTAGAGTTGCAGTGGCAATCAGAGAAAGAAGGAAATTGAAAGGGGGATACCATTTTCTAAAATGAGAGGAAGTTCAAAATGAAGAACAAAGAGAGAGGGATATCGTTGCACGTGTGGATATCCATAACATATGTACAAAAATTATTGCACGTGTGGATACCATTTTCTAAAATGAGATGATGCCACGAATCATCCTATCCCATTAATATATATATATATTAGATTGGATAAGGTGCGGTATTAAGATAAACTCGACCCTCTTAACTTGTGACGGGATATGCTCCTCACAAATGGGCGCCTCACAGGCACATCCACCGTACATTGGGAACATCTCCCATGAATAATAGCTAATAAGCATGGGAGATGTTCCCGATGTATGATAGGATGTGCGTGTGAGGCGCCTGTGAGGTGCTAGGTGTGAGGAGCAGATCTGGTCTCAGTCTCTATAATATTGGGAGGGAAGCATATAAATTTTAAGCTCTGTTTGGTTTGTGGAAAGATTTGGGTGAGATCGGAAAAGATGGGATGGGATGGGAAGGTGCAAAAATTTAACTTTCCATTATTTGATTTGTATGGGAAAATAGTAGGAAAAGTACCACCACGACCTGATTCTTTGCCGGAATGAGAGAGAGAAGGGAGTGTTGAGAAAGCAGATCGCTGTTGTCTAGAGTTGCAGTGGCAATCAGAGAAAGAAGGAAATTCAAAGGGGGAGGAAGACGGGAAGAATAGGAAGAAGAAGAAGGTGAGGGAAAAGAGAGAAGAGGAAGATTGAGGGAGAGAAAGAGAGACAGAGAATAGATCGGGAGAGGAGATTGTCGTTCCTCTGCCACCCCTGTTCGAAGAGAGGGAGACAATGAACAATGGAGAAAACGGTGAAGAAAACGATATCTGGTTCCTCTGCAATGGAGAAAATAGTGGTTCCTTGCGAGTATCTGGTTCCTTTACCGTCCATGTTCGAAGAGAGGGAGACAATGAACAGTGGAGAAAACGTTATCTGGTTCCTCTGCCGTGGAGAAAACAGTGGTTCCTTGCCAGTATCTGGTGAATAAAACAGTGGAGAATAGATCGGGAGAGGAGATCACTGTTCCTCTGCCATTCCTCAACCGTGGTAACTTCATCGCTGGTTCGTCGCCTTACTCCAGTTGAAGAAGAAGGCCCATCCCACGAATGAAGAAAACTCGAGTTTTCTCGAGTTCTTCCACCAGGGTCGCATTGTTTTGGTGCGACCCCGATTACATGATTTTGGGATCCCACATCCCATGTTTTTCTCATTCCATCCCCCTATTTCCCTCAAAACAAATAAGAGAAAAAGGAATATTTTTTAGAATATTCCCTTTTTCTCATCCCCATCCCACAAACCAAACGGAGCCTTATGTATTAGGTGTTAAATTTAATAATATTTTGAATTTTATGTGAAGGATAATATTTTTTATGTGTTTTTTATATATTTTAATCAAATAATTAGAAATCTTGATGTTTATTTGTGTTATTTTACTTATTCATTGCTTATATGTAACAAGAAACAATAGAAAATTAGTTGTGGGTTTTAAATCCAACACACCCCTACCCTTAAATGTGGGGAGGGGAAGGGAGGGGAGGGTTTTGCACTTTCATGTGCGAGAAGGGTTTGAATTCTCAAAATCCAACATGCTACGGGTTTTGGAGCGGGTACAGGTTGGGAGATTTAAGGAGGCAAGTAGGGTCTAAAATTTATAAAACCCTCCTAAACCCACCCCAACCCTGTTACTTGGGATGGCAACAGGGCAAGTTTGAGCAGAGTTTTGTAAATTCTAGACCTTACCTGCCTCTCTAAACCTCCCAACTTGTACCTGCCCCAAAACCTGTAGCGGGTTGGATTTTGAGAATCCAAACCTGCATCTAATTTCTTATTATTTCTTGTCAAATATAAGCAATAAATAAGTAAAATAACACAAATAGAGAGTGATCACATGCAACTCTAATGAAATATGAACACGCCAATATTTTAATCATGGTTTTCAAAATCGGACCGAATTGAAC